AGTTCAACTAGTAGAATTAAAACCCAGTTTGTATGACAATTCAATATATTTTTAAATCCCATTTTTTATTGTTAACAATGATAGTTTAGTGACCCTGACCCTTCAATTATGAAGTAAATCATCTAAGATTGGTGATGTTGTTATTATTATATTTTATATTAGAAAAATAAAATTGTTAAGGAAATTAAAATGAACTTAATGACGTCGACGATTTATTGTTAATCGGATACGTCTACAGGTAAGGGGTGGTCTCAGTTGTCGCTTGCTCTCGCTTTAAAGAGGCGGTTCGAGACCTCGTCTTGGGCGTTTTCTGACGAAGAGCAGACAGACACCTATACATTCTTGCATAACCAGGTAATTTGCTGCTTTTCATGTTATCATCCTTGGCCATTGCGACGTGCTTTTGTATGTTCCTTATATAACAGTGTCGGTGGACATTCCGTAGACATACGTGGTGTATGCAAATTGCCAGACATAGTTTAAATTAAACAAAGTGCACCCGACCTATTCGTAGAATGTCATTTATAATATTCTTATCGACTACTTGGTCGATAGCTATATATTTGCCCGGGGAGTAATATCATTTCAATTCATATATTATTCATATTATTATATGACGCATGTAAAAGGATATTCTGTTAACATTCTGCGACAAGTCTCTGACGGGAGTATTTACAATATGATTAGTTATCGCGTGCGCACTGTAACCTGAGGTCGATTATCAGCGTTACTATTTTCGTTATGTCGGCAGGTTTCCGCGATTAATAATATACTTGCATGACAAATTAATATATATAAGCAAACTCTTGGGTATTTCATAATAACATAATCCATAATCCATAATATTTTCAATGAGAACTGTTTATATTATATTATATTCACGCAGCAGTTTCGTGTTCGTTATATGGTTCCTCTTGTGTCACCGTTTGGACAGAAGTAAATAGTAATCGTCGATACTATTATTTGATAACACAGCTTGAAATATATGCTTTGGGTGCAACCAAAACGTATTGACCCTACCCATATAACGCCGGTCAATATTTCGATCATTCAAATTATAAATCATACATAAATGTATAAATTTATGTAAATTCATAACCGATATATTGAGGAAGTTGCCACATTTCACACGTGTTTAGAATTAATAACATTATTAATGACACGAGGTCCGAGACTGAAGTACGTCTCAAACATGTATGTTCTATGCGCATTTCTTCTTCAACTCAGGAATCAGGATTGTGAGAACGCGATCCATTCTCAAGCTCAGTACTACACAATCTGATTAAATTCCGGTGTAGGTATAGGCTCCATTTTTTTAAGTTTTTTAAATTTTTAAATTTTTTAAAGTAGTTACGGCGACCAAGATACGATATATATATATATATAAACTTAATAACGGCAAGTAAAACCAAAACATATTCATAAATATATAAACAAAAAATTATACTATATATGAGGAATTACGCATCACTGCGTAGTAACAGTTCTGAATATAGAATATATTTTTAAATTACATACGCGCCTCAAATCCCCGCCACATAAGATAATCAGATATATTTTAACATCATTAATCTGTCTGTGGCGGCAAATTGTTAAAATAAGATGAAGTACTCTGTTCAAATAAAAAAAGGTTTATGTTTCCATGGTATTAAGTGTATTCGGCTCATCTATCACCTATCTGCGACCTACTCACTCCATTACGGTGCACGTGCTATCTTACATTACGACATAGTGCCGTGATGACGTAACAGTTGTCGCGTGTCAGACTAATACGCTCACTCGTGTTGTCAGATATGTTATCGTGTAACAGAATATTGGAACCGTGTTATAAATATATGATAAATAAAATTTCCATACGACCTCGTGAAATAATTAATGACGTGCGCGAGTCTCAATAAAATACTATCCTATTTGATTCTATACTTGTGAGACCAAACATCGTACAATCATGGTTACTGACCGTGCTACAATAGAGAAAATGGCAGTTAAAACTGTACAGTGTTTGAAGAATAGCTCCACTGTGTCTGGTTAAACTCGTAAAGAAAATTGTATGACTGAATTGGGCCTTGTACCAACAATAATAGTCGCTACTTGCGATTTTAAAATCGTAATAATATACAATATTCATTGTTGACGTCTCGTTTGATCGTGTCTCAGATTTTGTGTGAATGAGATCACGTTATGGATCATTTCAAAATGGCGAATATTTATTCGTTACGTCAATGTCATGTCTTAAACCAATTTAGTTTTAACACCTAAAATTAATACAATAAATGGATAACCTTTAAATTTATTTTTTATGTGCAAATAATCAGTGTTGAGAAAAATGCATCAAATATTGCTACATTAGTAGTCAAATGATTATAACTTGTGTTCCGGCATGGGGTCACATACCATACACTAAAAATAAAACTCCCTGTATTCAAAGCACTCTCCCTTGGAGGGCTTCGAGCTTATGACCTGACCTACGGAGCCACATAGAGCGCAACTCGTGTGGCGTTCCCTTGCGACTACCTAGCTTAGTGATAAAAGACCCATAGTATCTGCGAATGAGAATGTACTATAGTATTCAAAGGTCAGTGGTCGTCGCGACGATGTGTGTTTAATGCGACGTATACAATACAACCCGTATTAAAGGGAGGTAGTCGTCGCGCCACCCATGCGCGAGATATATGGATCGCATATGAACAAAGGTGGCAACTTCGCAGATCAACGAGACAGTATAAACTGGGACGTTACCAAGCTTTAATTAGGCCTTTTTTAGGTGATTGGAAGGTATCGACGGAGTCACCGGCAATAATTAGTGCAAGTCGCGCCCAGGTCAAACCTCATACTTGTGATTTTCATTAGAAGAGTGCATTCGATTGTGGGAAAATCAATGTTTCGACGACTGCCGGCCTTAAAATAATAATACAACGCGAAGTATACAATGCATGTATACAATGTTTGTGCACACAAAATTAAACGACGACCACCTGCTAACAGTTTCAGATGGTCTATATTTCAAAATGTTCAAGGGGAAGCATGCCTCCGGAACCCCCCCCCCCCCCCACACACACACACACACTAGTAAGGTCGCGCCTTCGGTGCGAGGGATGGTGAGCAGATCTCGCCCACCCGTGCAAAATTTCGTGCCTCTGGCTAAAGATGCAATATGGACGAGAACATGTAATAATTTGATTCATTCTAGCTCAGCTTTGCAAGGTTTACGTTGTCGTCTAAATAGACCTGTAGTATAATATCGGTCATTCTACAATTCAAAAACTTTCGTGTCACTGAGAACATTACAGAAACACATATACAAACAATGTTATTTCACACAACAAGCAATGTTTGACAATCTATCGTATTTTTGTTCCTAGCAACACACCACTCGTCGTAATATAAAAATCATTCTTAGTATTAATAGTAGCATTATTCGTCTGATGTAATTAATAATAATTTAAAAATAATAAAAAAATATTAATAATGGTGTGATATATCGTCTATCATAATGACGATGTATGTCTAAAATGAACCTTTATAGTTATATTGTCACGTGATATCTGTTGCGGTGTGTGTTTGCACTAAGGACGAAAGTGTATCATTTCGATCCAGTACACAGCTGTTGTTCACGCATTTGTCATATTGCAACAACCCATATATATTATGCTTTGATATACGCATGCGCTAGGTGAAAATAAATAAAGCATTTGCATATTTTCTTTCTTCATCGTAGGAACCGAAGGTGGCAAAACCTGCCTGACCGTGTTGTCAAAAAGACGTATACGTTAAAGTATAACAACCGCTGTAATAATTTGACAATTTCTCGATATGTTGACAGGGCAGTCAAATAATAATACCGCACAATTATTATCGATGTAATTACGCGCATTTTATTATATCTTATACATTTCTACATCAAAAGCATATCTTATAATTTCTACATAATTTTTCGGTCTGGTTTTTGTTCATAGGAATAAATACAAATACATTTCTACATCGAAAAGCATCAATCATTACATATTTAATTACTTTCAATAAGACTTGCCTTTACTTCAAAATTTACCTGAGAATGCTAAGTTTAGCCTAATCGTATCGAAATCCGGAATGCTTATAATTTGCAAACAAATCACGCGCGTTTTGTGATAGCATCAACGTGTTTATCATAGTATGTAGGAGCAGTCAGATTGAAACCTAAATATCTGTGATTAATTTTAAAATTATTATTTACGACCAGAAAATTCCGTTCACCAATTCATGTTGCAGGCATTTGTAGGAGATAATATTGGCTCTTTGGGAATACACGTGTCATATGAGTAGTTTAATGGCAATTCATTAGCATTTTATTAAATATCTTTCCCGCCGACAGAGAGCGCACCATGATCTGTTACATTGAGACCTGTTAATGTTAGGTAAATAACACAATTATGTTTGTTTTATTTCAGACTATTTTTTAACAATAATACGTATGAAGTCAAATTCTCGGTAATATACACAGAATGACAGATCCAGAGAAGATACCGATCTCCGGATCGATCGAGAAGATGGCTCCAAATGGGAACGTTAAACTCACAACACAGACTGTCAAACTGGCAACACAGCCCGACAACCCGTCCTTCTCGAGCGAAGACGGCACTGATGATACCAAGCCAATTTTGAAGAAAAGCAAAAGCGTCGAAGAGGAGAAAAATCTGAAATATTCATTCATGTCGCGAAGGCAAAAATTTACTGTGGCTAGTATATCTATTATGAAATTCACATCGTCGCTGTGTTATTCGGTTATAGCACCGTTTTTTCCTGACAAGGTAAGGCATCCATTGCGTTTATGCTGTACGTTTTGTGAGCTTCGTTTGGACCGTGACGTAATCACTGGCTAGCAACCACAAACAAATGTTTGAAACAAAGTAACAATTTCTGGCAAGGAGCAATCTATCTGATTTTGAATAGAATGTCCAATATATGTATCACATCTCACTAAGCACGTGACCACTCCCTTCTCATGTTGATAATTCTTAAATATGCCCCCTTCTGTAAACATTTGGAAAGTTCGGCGTTCTCCACTTGGATTTCCCACCCACAGATTGCAATTACATGAATAGTATAATACATGCATTCTTTAAATTTCTCGCCAAATTCCAACCTATAATAAATACCATCTCTTCATGAGATATTATAAGTAATCCCCTACCCTCAAGACATTACGATCATTTACCTGTGTTGTATGCGTTGCATAAGACCCCCCCCCCCCCATGACGCAGCGCGACGTCTCTCAAGTTCGCAACTTAAAACTACAATTGAACTGCATTGACATTTCAGGCAAGTGAAGTCGGCGCCTCGGAAACTGAGACTGGACTTGTATTTGGTATATATGCATTGACTCTGTTCTTATCAGCGCCTATCTTTGGAAAATTTGTAAGTTCAACTATTGTTTAACACATGTCATTCGGGCGTTGTGACGTCTTCCGTTCGATGGTGACGGACTCGGAAAACAGCTGTGATAAAGTAAATCTAAAACCAAACTAAGTATATATCGCAGTGGTACGTGTTGTGTGTGTGCGTGTGTGCTTCGTTTTTGGAATAACTCATGACATCTCTACATTGGTACAACAATGTTTGAAATCTTTACATATTGCCGTGCAAGTAAAATGCGATCACGGTTTTTAATAGAGTTCAAGCCAAGTGTAAAACTTTGAGCATGTTACTATGACAACGCACTATGAAAGTGAAGTTCTTATTAGCTGTAATGAATTGAAAACTATTGCATGGCATTGGAAACTTACTTAATTAAACTACAATTAATATTTACAATCATTTTTAAGTTGTAAGATGTAAAAAACATTGACAACTTTATCAGCCCATGTCGCCCTTGATTCAGGGTCGATAAACTGATTTGACTAAAACAAGGTTTAATAACCGTGACCACGAGAACAAATACAAAATCGAATAATGATTTTGAAAAATGATGAAGATAAAAGCAATTGACAATTATGCAATTTTCCACAATAATTAAGACTCTTGTTTCTCGATTGTCCGATGATACCATTTTCACACTTCATTAGCTGTATATTAAGACTCTTGTTTCTCGATCGTCCGATGATACCATTTTCACACTTCATTAGCTGTATATTAAAAATGTTGAGCCACATTAAGACAATTGATTTTAATTATTAGTTTGTCCGTCCCTCATTACATGAGTACCAATGTCTCTATGTGTTTATTTCTATTTTCATTTCAGTTGCCAAAATTGGGTTCCCGGAGAATGTTTCTCGGGGGAATGGCTGTAGGTGGTATCGCTACAATAGCTTTCGGGTAAGTGTCGGGGATAGTACAGCTGGGTCGTCAATAAATCTAATTTTAACCAATTCTAATTATAACTAATTATGTATCTGTATAGAATTGTGATTATTGCATGTATAGATATGAATTATTAGAAAAGAGAAATAAACAAAAGCAGCGTTAGATGTTTGTAATTATATTATATGAGTACGTGACCTGTGCTATACAAAGGTGGTTTATGATATAACACGCGACATTTGTCGTAGACTTGCACCGACTTGTACAGTAAGAAGGTTAAGAAAGTCGTTTTCTTGATGTAACGTTGCTTGTATTTCACTGCTAATTGGTGTCAATGAACTTTTAAAACGCACATAAAATGATCGATGTCTAGAAGTGTCTCTCATGAATTGAATTTCTTGTACGGTTATTACTGTTAAATTAAACTTAGACCGTGGCTGAACGTATTGACATGCAATGACAAATTTTACACTTTTTACACTGTTTTTTTTTATAGAATAGGTGGGTACATTACTGTTTCCTCATGTGTATGTGTGTATGTTGCATTACAATTGTTCACATAATAGTATCTGATATGTTACGCATGCGCTGTATGTGTGTATTACGTTATGATTAATTCTTTTTATTTTGCTATTTTCCTGTCAATTATAGAATTCTGGATGTGTTCGAAACCCGCGGCCTTTTCATTGGTATGTCATTTTTTATACGAATCATAGAAGCACTCGGGTGTTCAGCATGTATAACGGCCTCGTACGTTATTATAGTTAACGAGTTTCCTGATGCGGTTGCCACGGCATCTGTGAGTATCACCCTCCTCTCGCCATTTTCGCACACACAACGAGCATCGTCTCTGATAAATTATGCGAACGAGGACGATAACCACGCATCATCGCATACGCGATTACCATCTACACGTTTTTTAATATCCGACAAATCAGCGGGGGTTACGTGGTCTAATGAGACTACATATCTTACTGACAAGAAATCAAAACGGGATTTCCAACGTTGTGATATTTCTGAAGTTCAATTTGGCGACAGAGGAATAACAGATTTATTATTAAATAATAATATTCATTGTGTTTATTTGATTAGAAGTATAATAAAAACACTCAGCTGTTGACATGCCACTGATGTCAGGGTCGAAGAGGTTATCGGTTGTTTTCCAAGATTCGGAGTATCTGCACTTTCGTTGGCATGAATATATCCACTATTCGCATCAATGAATAATGGACGTAAAACATAGCAGCTGGGAAGTTCACATTCCGTTTTGATATTAAATATGGATATTTTTTCAATACACCGTAATTCATAATTTATTAGTTTCTACTGTCCCCGTGTCACTTCTAATGTTGAATTTTTGTACTGCTGCAGGGAACCGTGGAATTATTCAACGGACTTGGATTCATTGCAGGACCAGTCGTGGGTGGCGCTCTTTATGACGTGAGTACGAACCTTGCTTTTTGAATATATCTAATTTTCTTTTTATATTTCGGTCTTGAATTATACTTTATTTTCACTGGTTATTTTGAAGCCTCAAAAGTAGCATTTGAATCGGTTGCCGTCAGACCAGGCAATGTATACCTGTCTTGTGACAAGTAGCAACTATGTACAGGCGAATTTAGGGGACAGTCATTTGAAATCATAGGAGGGGCTGGACTAATGTGTGTAACCAACGCAATTTTGTTTTCGCCGTGTCTAACCTGTACATTTTTATTTTCGTGAGTGTACAAGCACCGTTTCGTACAGTACGTTGTACTCTCTCGGTGCCGAGCGTACAGTTTTTTCAACAAATCGTCCAGCCACCCCTCCAACCCAGTGTCTACCAACATCACGGTGTATATCGTCTTAACCTCCCAATTAAATAACTACTACCGTTATTACAGGCTGGTGGCTACATGCTTCCTTTTATACTCCTGGGTGCAATTATGTTATTATTTGCTCTTCTTACATACTTTCTACTACCAATTCAAGAAAAAGGTACGTTAATATTTCCAATGACTGTAGAGCGTTGTTAATAACTAATATCGTCGGGTCTGTCAACACAAACTTTTCACAAATAGACGTATCAATTCTAACGTATCAATTTGTTGTCGTTCAACTTCAAGTAAAACATATATATATCGGGAAAACCGACAAGTCGTGCAACACATGTTAGCAAACGTTTCGTTTGAAAGTGCCAACGGGTTTACTGGCTAGTTTCTCGTCTCTCATTGCTATAGTTTCTCCCCACAGATGATTCAAAAATAGAAACAGGGTCACTTTTAGAATTGCTAAAGGTTCCTGCCATTTTGATCACTGCCATGGCAACGTGTATGGGAGCAGTAGCACTATCTTATATGAACCCAACCTTGTCTATACATCTAGCACCGGTAAGTGACGCTCTTCCATGTGTGGAAGTTCTATGCAGTTATGTATATATAATACCGGATATATTTAGTGGTTCATAATAATTCTTATGTAGTTTGTGAGCTAATTGTATATGAAATTGTCGACCCTCTAGGCTCACGATAATTCATTCGTCACACGTTTCATCAAAGTTGTTTTCAATTTCTTCCACCCAGTTCAATCTGAGCAGGACAGTGGTAGGGCTGTTTTTCTTGTTAGTTGCGCTATGCTATGCTGCCTCTGCCCCACTCTGGGGGTGGGTTTCGGACCTTAAAGGAGTACACGTAAGTAACCAAATAGTCGTTATAGTCGAGTTAGTCGACTCGTATAGTATTTGACGTCACAATGACATACTTATATATAAACACCGGTCACGTGCGCATCAGCGCCGGTTTCGGTTTACAACACGGCGAACTTTTTCCCAATATAACAACAAAGTATTCGTCATATCTGTATTTTGTGACAAGTATGTACATATACAACTATGAAAATCGTGTTTATCTGTAGGGTGTTGCCAAAATTATTATGACTGGAGGTCTCTTTGGAGCAGCTTTGTCGTATTTCTTAGTTGGGCCATGTCCAATATTTGGAGTCGAATCGTGAGTATTTTGCTTGCACTTTGAAAAGTACCAAAAACCAACCCCCTTCATACGGATTCAGATATCGATAAATATGTGTTTAGTATTTTTGTTTCAATTGTTTCAATTTGTTCACGAACACGTAATGATTTATGGTAATATATATTTATATATGCCGTGTGGTGTCACCCACAATACATTGATATTCTCCATCCTAGAGGGCGTAGCCTATAATAATGGTTTACTAGTTCAATGACACTTCAAAAATGTAACGCAAAAACTGATAAAAAAATTGTGTTGTTCAAAAATCGAAATTCTGCATAAGGATATGTTTCAGTTTTATTATTTTGTTTAGACCTTGCTGCTTTAATATTCTAAGTCAGCGTTTGTGTCAATACGTATTATTACTTCTGTGTCTAGTGTGGTACTTGCGGTATCTGTGTGTAGACATATTTTCCAGGGTCATTTAACATTTTCTTCTCGTTTCTACATAATATTTAGTAAACTGTGGTTGATAGGAGTATCGCTGGCATTACTAGGGTTTTCACTGGCGGCTATTCTAGTACCAATCCTCAGAGCCGTACTTGAAACAACAAGGTAAATATACTATAATTTTCGTTACATCATATTCCAATGGATATGTAAAGAAATGATTCAGTGATATAAGTATTCAAGTTTTTGTGATATAATCGAACTTTCACTGCATTGCAACATTGGCTATTACATTGTTAAAAGGCATTGCGTCATAATTGCATGGTATTTAATACTGGGTTAACATGCTCATTTCTCCACCAGAATGGCCGGTTTACAAGACAACATGGCTACATATGGAATGGTTTCTGGCCTGTTTTACTCCATGTACTCACTCGGGTAAGTGACCTGGTTTACTCCATGTTCTCACTCTGATAAGTGACCTGGTTTACTCCATGTACTCACTCTGATAAGTGACCTGTTTTACTCCATGTACTCACTCGGGTAAGTGACCTGGTTTACTCCATGTTCTCACTCTGATAAGTGACCTGGTTTACTCCATGTACTCACTCTGATAAGTGACCTGTTTTACTCCATGTACTCACTCGGGTAAGTGACCTAGTTTATTCCATGTTCTCACTCTGATAAGTGACCTGGTTTACTCCATGTACTCACTCTGATAAGTGACCTGTTTTACTCCATGTACTCACTCGGGTAAGTGACCTGTTTTACTCCATGTACTCACTTGGGTAAGTGACCTGTTTTAGTCCATTGACTCACTCTGATAAGTGACCTGTTTTACTCTATGTACTCACTCTGATAAGTGACCTGTTTTACTCCATGTACTCACTCGGGTAAGTGACCTGTTTTACTCCATGTACTCACTCGGGTATGTGACCTGGTTTACTCCATGTACTCACTTGGGTAAGTGACCTGTTTTACTCCATTGACTCACTCTGATATGTGACCTGTTTTACTCTATGTACTCACTCTGATAAGTGACATGTTTTACTCCATGTACTCACTCGGGTAAGTGCCCTGTTTTACTCCATGTGCTCCCTCGGGTAAGTGGCTTGTTTTACTCCATATACTCACTCAGGTAAGTGACCTGTTTTACTGCATGTACTCACTCGGGTAGGTGACCTGTTTTACTCCATGTACTTACCCGGGTAGGTGACCTGCTTTACTCCATGTACTCACTCGGGTAAGTGCCCTGTTTTACTCCATGTGCTCTCTCGGGTAAGTGACCTGGTTTACTCCATGTACTCATTTGGATAAGTGACCTGTTTTACTCCATTGACTCACTCGGGTAAGTGCCCTGTTTTACTCCATGTGCTCTCGGGTAAGTGGCTTGTTTTACTCCATGTACTAACTCGGGTAAGTGACCTGCTTTACTCCATGTACTCACTCGGGTATGTGACCTGTTTTACTCCATGTACTCACTCGGGTAAGTGACCTGTTCTACTCCATTGACTCACTCGGGTATGTGACCTGTTTTACTCCATGTACTCACTCGGGTAAGTGCCCTGTTTTACTCCATGTGCTCCCTCGGGTAAGTGGCCTGTTTTACTCCATATACTCACTCGGGTAAGTGACCTGCTTTACTCCATGTAATCACTCGGGTAGGTGACCTGTTTTACTCCATGTACTCACTCGGGTAAGTGCCCTGTTTTACTCCATGTGCTCCCTCGGGTAAGTGGCTTGTTTTACTCCATATACTCACTCGGGTAAGTGACCTGTTTTACTCCATGTACTCACTCGGGTAGGTGACCTGTTTTACTCCATGTACTCACTCGGGTAAGTGCCCTGTTTTACTCCATGTGCTCCCTCGGGTAAGTGGCCTGTTTTACTCCATATGCTCACTCGGGTAAGTGACCTGTTTTACTCCATGTACTCACTCGGGTAGGTGACCTGTTTTACTCCATGTACTCACTCGGGTACGTGACCTGTTTTACTCCATGTACTCACTCGGGTAGGTGGCCTGTTTTACTCCATGTACTCACTCGGGTAAGTGCCCTGTTTTACTCCATGTGCTCCCTCTGATAAGTGCCCTGTTTTACTCCATGTGCTCCCTCGGGTAAGTGACCTGTTTTACTCCATGTACTCACTCGGGTAGGTGACCTGTTTTACTCCATGTACTCACTCGAGTACGTGACCTGTTTTACTCCATGTACTCACTCGGGTAAGTGACCTGTTTTACTCTATGTACTCACTCGGGTAAGTGCCCTGTTTTACTCCATGTGCTCTCGGGTAAGTGGCTTGTTTTACTCCATGTACTAACTCGGGTAAGTGACCTGCTTTACTCCATGTACTCACTCGGGTAAGTGACCTGTTTTACTCCATGTACTCACTCGGGTAAGTGACCTGTTCTACTCCATTGACTCACTCGGGTATGTGACCTGTTTTACTCCATGTACTCACTCGGGTAAGTGCCCTGTTTTACTCCATGTGCTCCCTCGGGTAAGTGGCCTGTTTTACTCCATATACTCACTCGGGTAAGTGACCTGCTTTACTCCATGTAATCACTCGGGTACGTGACCTGTTTTACTCTATGTACTCACTCGGGTACGTGACCTGTTTTACTCCATGTACTCACTCGGGTAAGTGACCTGTTTTACTCCATGTACTCACTCGGGTAAGTGCCCTGTTTTACTCCATGTACTCACTCGGGTAAGTGCCCTGTTTTACTCCATGTGCTCTCGGATTAGTGACCTGGTTTACTCCATGTACTCATTTGGATAAGTGACCCGTTTTACTCCATTGACTCACTCGGGTAAGTGACCTGTTTTACTCCATTGACTCACTCGGGTAAGTGACCTGTTTTACTCCATGTGCTCCCTCAGGTAAGTGCCCTGTTTTATTCCATGTGCTCTCTCGGGTAAGAGACCTGTTTTACTCCATGTACTCACTCAGGTAAGTGTCCTGTTTTACTCCATGTGCTCTCTCAGGTAAGTGCCCTGTTTTACTCCATGTGCTCCCTCGGGTAAGTGACCTGTTTTACTCCATATACTCACTCGGGTAAGTGACCTGTCTTACTCCATGTACTCACTCGGGTAGGTGACCTTTTTTACTCCATGTACTCACTCGGGTAAGTGCCCTGTTTTACTCCATGTGCTCTCGGATTAGTGACCTGGTTTACTCCATGTACTCATTTGGATTATTGACCTGGTTTACTCCATGTACTCATTTGGATAAGTGACCATTTTACTTCATTGACTCACTCGGGTAAGTGACCTGTTTTACTCCATGTGCTCTCTCGGGTAAGTGCCCTGTTTTACTCCATGTGCTCTCTCGGGTAAGTGCCCTGTTTTACTCCGTGTACTTACTCGGGTAAGTGACCTGCTTTACTCCATGTACTCACCCGGGTAAGTGACCTGTTCTACTCCATTGACTCACTCGGGTATGTGACCTGTTTTACTCCATGTACTCACTCGGGTAAGTGCTCTGTTTTACTCCATGTGCTCCCTCGGGTAAGTGGCCTGTTTTACTCCATATACTCACTCGGGTAAGTGACCTGTTTTACTATACATGTACTCACTGGGATAAGTACCTGTTTTACATTACATACTCACTCGAGTAAGTGCTTACAAAGTTCTTAGCGCAGGCAGGTTAAGCGCCATCTTACGTGGAGAGTGGTATGAAGCAAAAGAAACATCTCAGTTTACGATAAATATTAATTCCATTTGTTCTTCAACATGCATTATCAAACAATATTAAACATATATATGTCTTCGTCTATGTTCCATTTTTAAGATATGCTAATGAGAGATAGTGATTATTGTCTTTCTTTCTGTTTTACAGAGTATTCGTTGGGCCGACTGTGAGTGGTACTCTTACTGACCTGTATGGGTTTGGATGGGCGACCTCTATCAACGGTCTACTCATGCTAGTGATGTCAATAATATTGTGCTCATTCACAGTGCACACTCGCAGAAAACACAGGTTTGCTGCCGAAGAAGAATCGTCTGATCCGACACACATGGGATGGGTCAATCTTAAATCTGTAGGTTCAATTCAAACCAAAGCCGTTGCTGCCCAGCATTAGCCTTACATTTCTACCTCAGTGTAAAAAAAGTGCTTTAAATTTAGACATTAATGCTGTCCTTATTTACATTCACGTATTTTTTATTTGTTTCCCGCCATTACAAATATGTCATTTCGAAGTAATACTATTTATATGGTCAGTTTCTTTGAGACCAGTATAAAACTATATGTATGTTTACGACAAGCCAACAATCTAAAAAGATACTAGGCTAAAGTTAACGATTGACGAGCTCAAATCTTCTTTCATGTTATGTCCTGTGGGATACGTGCAATACGTAATATATGCTTGAATCACGTGGTCGTGTTACTGGCGTCGTCAGTTTGCCACATTTAGTAAACACTGCCAAAGAGTGAGATTAATCCTGAGACTAATTCCGCTGTACATAGCATACAAAGAATAATGTGTTGGTTATTTCAGTATGGACAGAAAAAACAATGAATCGGAATAAATTCGGATAGCAAACATGTTCTGACCTGTCAATGGTCGTGTGAATTGCGCCCTCATAGTCAGCTGCAAATACACCGTCGATGAGGGCGCGAATCAGTGTCTACTTCCGTCCTAGTCAGACTACTATATTTCACAAAACCTAGTATTTTCCTAATTATTATGCATTTATCACATAAAATGCATTCTATTTTACCGTTAAACCTAAATTATCAAGACAAAAAGTTACACAGCCTCCTCGTCCAATTTGTACACACATATTTCATTGATACTATATGGCGTCCATTAAATAGATATGTAAATTAGTCACGTAATATAGTATTTTGAGCTTCATATATTTTTCTTCATTTTTCTTTTTGTTCACTTCAGAGCACTTCACGATCGGTACCTACTTAAAGAAGTCACATTTCATTGGACAATGCATGATGTAACAGAGTGAAACCGGATATGACGTCAAAACTAGGTGTACATAAACCATTACATTATAATGTAATATTATTATTTCTGAAAATCATACCGCTTTAGACTAACAACCTAGTTTGCTGTCATTTTTATTCACATCTGCTCTTTTCTCTGCTATTCCGCTGAAAGTTATGAAACAGCGAAATAAAGGTGCTTTCGAACCCCATGGAACGTTATGAATTGAGACAAATGCATATATGTTTGGGGTGGCTGCTTTTCAAGGTGACACTAACCTCATTGCAAAAACCCTAATTTCAAAACTTTCGGTCACGACCTGACTTTGTGAATCCTGAGATTTTTTTGTAAATTTAAATTCGCTAATTAAGGTAAATCGCCATATTCAATATGCACGATTTCAATAATTGTCTCCGATTTGTTACAACAACTTTCATTGCCTGTCTGAAAAAATGAATTGTGCAGTTACGATTTGCTAGCATTATATTTGATTATTTCGGCCACGTTTTTGTTTTGTTTAAATTTATTCACAATGGTATTTATCTTGTGTAAAAAGCCGGAGCCTTATATCTGCATATACGGCTATTTAATCCACGTATCCATTGTGTATGAGGCGTGTGGAACCTTGATTGCTAACTCTCTAACTCTAACGTATATATATACTAGTATACGTTTTTATTTTACGTCTAACGCTAACAATGTAAATGCCATGCTTACCTCACTGGCCGCTATGGCCTGACCTCCTGGCTGACGTCACGCATAATTACCTCAGCAATACCTGTGTGCTTTTTCACTAAACCACGGTTACTATAGCAACTGTGAAAAGATTGTTTTTCATTGAGTGCTGTATTGATTGTTCTTCTAATGGCTTGCATGAGTAGATGCGTTCGGTTTGTTTCAGTGCAAACTCACTTTGTGATAACTACCGTATTGCGCCATTTTGTGTCTTTCCATGCAAAGTTGTTCATCCATTCGTTACGCACAGCTCACAGTCGCCCACCCGTCATGTACATGGTTATCGACGTATGTAAATTTAAAAACAGTCAAATTTTAAACTTATTTTATTATTTCATTTACACTGGCAGTATATGAGGTGCCTATATAATTGCATATCTCGCCTAATTTAGTCAAATGTGTCTAGGCTTGAATGCAACAAACAACCTGTAGTATTGAACGATGTATTGAAGATATTTTGGACAGTCACCTCGAGTGTCACACTTTGTTTGCATGCTGACGAATCTAATTACTGTAATAATATTTACGTTTATCACTCTAATACCATGGTTTTCTTAATTAGAGTAATGTGACGTAGCTTATGACGTAGCTTCATTACTTTGGTGTAAAATGCCTGAAATATTGTTCTTATCTTGCAAGCAATAAAGCCTCTGTTTCAAAGGTTGAATGAACAGTTTATTGTGAGCCTCACTCACAAAAATGTCTATGCGGTTATCCTGTCTGTGTGTTTTTACAATGACATCACAAGAACTAATCATCACATTTCAATGAAACTCGGTACAAATTTGATCTTAAACAATTGACAGACACGATTGGATTTGGGCTGAAATCCTAATATCTAGCTTTTTTCCAATATATATATATATATATCAAGAACTAATCATGGCACTATATATACATGGATGCTCTGGTACAATTGGGTTCAAATCATGCATATTATTGACCTAATTTGCATTGTTATGATCCACTTTCCTCTTTTTTAAAGCGCGGTGATCGTATTTTACACGCGTTGTATACGTCGCTGTGAGTCCCATATCAAACAGGAAGCGGCGCGACGACTACCGCCCTTTAACAGATTCTTCAAGACCCAATGAAGCTTGAACATAAATTAAGTAACTTCTATGTATCTCAAGAACCACTTAACAGATTTAAATAAAAATTGTCGTAATGGTTCATTGAAAATAGTTTAGCTTTAGCTGTTCCAGAGATGAGATCCACTCACTCATTCTATCAGGGGGGAAATCTTCTCCTCTGGGTTCTCCACACGAGTCAGGGGGGAATCTCGTCTCGTCTCTATATCGCGTCCCCTTGAGGTACGGGATCAGGAAAGTCACTTAAGCTTTACAGTCAAATAAGACACACACAACGAAATACGTTTCAGCTCTCGTCTTAGTCGGTCAATCGAGCACTCTATAAGACACAGCGCCCTGGGGAAAAATCCCCAAGACTATCGCAAGGCTGACCCAAGACTCTCTTAGACTGCGTCAACACTTGCCCCAAGGCTCTCCAGGACTGGACTCGACTGCGTCTATCGTGCTGTGCTCCCCAAGACCAACTCAAACTCTCTTTATTCATTTTCAAAGCTCTAACCAATTACAAAACAGTGAAAAGACTCTAGGGCGTAACCTTCAATCATAAGGCCAATCACACTAAGCACTGAATACGTCATATCTTTTGATTAATCGTTCACTACATTAATAACTACGGATACCAACTGTCAGAATGAGTAGTCTGAATAGCGACGGTTATCTCGTAATTAGTTCAAAATCACTGAGCCAAGTT